TATTAGCGAAAAACTATTGTTACTAATACAGTATTCACTCCTTAAATATCACTTTTGCCGGTCTCGATTGTAACATTTACGGTAGAGGTCCTACATTCTTTGTAGTGTGCCGAACGTAGACAGAGACAGCCATACAAAAGACAAAGAGGGATAGAGTTTCGAGCGTTCGGCAAACATGAAAGACTCGTGCGTGTTCTGTCTTTTAAATTTAAAAATTAAAATTCTTTATTTTTGGTTTTTGACACGATATGATTATGATCGTAATTACTCATGTAACAAGCTATAAAAGTTTCGGGCTTTCACACTTACGGCAAACTTTACATTTACGGCAGAGATACGAATTCCTCCTAACGGCTCCTCCTATACAAGTAATTATGATTTTAATTATATTTTGTTTGGTATCATTTTAATCAGAAAAGCGAGACGAATACGATAATCAAAGTTGCATTGATGAAAAACCAAAAATAAAAAATTTTGATTTTTGAATTTAAAAGACAGAACTCACACAAGTCTTTCATGTTTGCCGAACGTTCGAACCTCAGTCCCTCTTTGTTTTTTGTGTCGCTATCTCTTTCTACGTTCGGCACACTACAAAGAATGTAGTACCTGTGGAGGTTTGTACCACTTTTACTTTCATATATTTGTTTGTAATTTCAAATGTTGAACGTATATCGATGACTTTACTACAATAAGATATTGCAAGTAAATATAACTCAAATTACATCCTGTTTGGTGTCATTTTCATCAGAAATACGAGGCAAATACGATGGTAAAAGTTGCATTGATGAAAAACCAAAAATAAAAAATTTTGATTTTTGAATTTAAAAGACAGAACACGCGCGAGTCTTGCATATTTGCCGAACGCTTCAACCGTCTGCCTCTCTTTCTTTTCCATTCGCCTTCCGTTTTTTTAACCGACTTCGAAAAAGGAGGAGGTTACTCAATTCGATCAGTATATTTTTTTTTTTTTATTATTTTCTATGTGTGCCCGCCGATTACGCCTAGCTGGATGCACCGATCGGAACTAAAAACTTTATTCAGAAAAGCTAGATAAATACGACAGTAAAAATTTCATGAAAAATTAGTAAGAAATAAGAAAATTGCAATCTTTTCCTTTTCTTGCATTATTATGTGTCTCACCGATACTCAATATTCGTCGGCTCTGTAAACGATCGTATGTAGCCTTTGACAGTTTATTAATTTTTACTCTTACGACAAAGATGTTTTTCACATTTACGAACACCATACTGTATATGTACAATGTCGCAGTGAACCCTACGGTATTTTTTGAACAGTCGGTATAGACGAACCCTTTGAAGTACAAATGAAAGTAAAGGTGGTACAAACGGGTACAAACGAAAAGGAAACAGCACCCCCAAGAAGATTTAAAAAATTCCCAAAATTGACGAAGTTACTTCTAGGGGATTTTTTCGAAAGGCGGTACAAACGAACCCTTTGAGGCACAAACGAAAGTAAAGGTGGTACAAACGGGTACAAACGACTAGGAAACAGCACCCGCAAGAAGATTTGAAATACCTCAAAAAATGGCGAAGTTACCCCTTGGGGGTACTTTCGAAAGGCGGTACAAACGCACCCCTTGGGGTAGAAACGAAAGAAAGGGTGGTACAAACCTCTACGGACGTCCCTTTTTATGATGGCTTTGAAAGAAATAAAAAATGTTAAAGTGGGGTCCTGGGGTATTTTTCACCCCCTAGTAACTTTTCATCCCTTGGGGTACAAACGAAATGAAAGGTGGTACAAACGGGTACAAACGATGCTAAATACGATACAATTGAAAGAAATAAAATTTTTGAAAGTCGGTGAAAGTCAGGTGCCAGGTTCAGGTAGGTACATATGCCTAGACGCGAGAACGACAGCTTTGAGCTTTACAACTCAGCGCGATCATGAACAAGGGTCATTCCACACCAAATTGATCACTTTTGCACGTCACCATCTGCGATTTTGCTCTAACCAAAATATGTTGTAGTCCATGTGAAATTGGGGGGGAGGTTTCAAATTTGTTAAGGAATAACAAGTCTTCAAAATTTGCAATTTTTGCCCATTTTTGCGAAAATAGGCTTCACTTACGAATTTTTTTCTCAGAAACTACTGAACCGATTTAGCTTAAATCCTTTTTGTTTTATTCATGAAGAATTCTGCTATTTTAAAATATTTTTTTTAATTCCGTCAATTTGTTATAAAATGTCGAAAAATTTAAATAAATTTTTTTTGCGTTTTTTCAATGATGGGCGTTGTCACGTCCCGGATCGTACCTTTCCGTAAATTTTATACGTAGGTTCGAAACGACCAGTAATGAAACAATCTTTTTGACCATGCGGCGCAGCATCCGACATATGTATGTCAGGGATCTCAACGTGTATGTTTGTGAACTCGTGTCTTGCCTTACGCTTCTTTATGTTTGGGGGTAGACAGCTCTCGGCGGATCGTCCGGACGAAGGTCTTTTTCCGACGATGCTTCTTAGGTATTTTCAACAACACTAACTATACTGAGATACTAATCACGCTTTCGCATAGTTCATGCACGGCGAAAGGGTTCCCGGATTAGGTAATGAAAGGTAAGTATTACGAAGGTAAGTAAGGATGCGCTCTTAATATAACAAAATAATATATGTATATTCAATGAAATAGAGTACAAGAGGGAATAACGTAACAACAAAATTAGTCTTAATAATTAACGCAAGGTAAGCCAATACTTATAATTATATAAACGCAGGTAACGGATAGGGAACTAGATAAAACAAAATAAAAGTTATACTAGATAACTAGATAAAAGTTAATACGGAAAAATGTTCTGTTAGGAATTTCCCAATGACCCACCCCAATAGAGCAGGGACGAAGGGCACATGGCCGTCCAACGACGACCACCACAGGGTCGAGGCCTGACGCTGTGACGCCCGGGCCATTAAACTCGTTATAATAAGTTTAAAACTTATTATTAATTTTCGTAATAATAAGAGAAGTACAAATTCGTAATAAGTAAATTTAGTATATTCTTCATAGTTATAACAATCCAAATCACAATAAAGTAGTTCGCAGTAAATGAGTTAAAAAATAAGTGTGACTAGAATTAAAATAGTGTACAATTGTATTAAGAAAATATTTTGAATACATGATTAAACTAATATAATATACAAATAATTTCATTATTTTCGATATAATTTGTTCGTATTATAAATGTAAAACTTTTTATTTTCATATAACTTTATTAAAAGATTAAAAAATTATGTTTTAACATTTTAATATTTACAGTACAATTTTACAAAAATATTTAAATAAACACCAATTTTAAATAGTACATTTTATAAAACCTACATAAGTAAACAATGAACTTTTAAAATTGTAAATTACGGTTATTTAAAATTCTTATTACTACTTTATTACAAGAATTACTTCAAACGTAGAATGTTTTGTAGAACAATACACAATATTCATAAACAGAAAATATAAAAAATTAAGTTTTATATGTATATATATATATATCACAGAAAAATAAAACTTGTTATTTGTTGCTATGTTAGTTTTATTATATTATGTACTTTTTATGCGCACTCAAACTTTATTAATTTTTTCTTATTTTGATTATTTTCTGGTAATTTTGGTGGTGTACTGGTTGCTGCAGTAGCTATAGGAAAAAATATTACCAATTATACCGAATTTTATACTTCACTATATGTATCTATACTATGAATTATCATCATAAAAATTGCAGATTCTTAGTGCCAACATAAATCAAAAAGTCCTTACATAATTTTGTTTTCAGGATGTGAACAATTCAACTATTTAACTTAACTGTCTCCCTTCACATTCATATCCAACATAAAAATTAAATTTCCATTTTTAAATATCTTCTTAATATTCAATGTATTTAAATTTTACATATGCTTTTTTAGCACTTTACATTTAAATTAAATTAAATACCACAGAATGAAAACCTAAGCAGGAAGAATGGCAAAACTAAACTTTAGTTTAAACGAAACTGACTGCATTACTATTAATATCTGTATTTACACAAATAATCTTCTGTGTTATTCATGCCGACATTGGTTGCACTACAAAAGAAAAGTAAGAATGAATTATTTCCAACTAAATATAGACTAAGTAGTATTTAACGTATGTGTAAAATTTTCACTATATGGAATTCTTTACTTAAATAATTATTCTTTTATCTCTTCAACAATTTTTCATCTCTTATACTATCAATAAAAAAAACAAAGAAAACAATTGCAAAGTAAAATAGGATTAGGTGATTCATTTTGACACAGAAAATCTGCAGTTTTTATGGTGTATAACTTTTCAAACCATCTTATGTTTAACATATATTATAAATACCTTACCTCCTATACGCAATTTATTTAATCTATCCTCAAGTTCCTTAACAGAACTTGGTTCTGCATCTGGTGCAGAAGGAAGAACATTTTCATCGAGTTCAATTAATTCTGCTAATTCTTTTTCTAAATCAGTGTATGAATCATCACCTTTCATAGTTTCAGATAATATAGACTCTATTTCTTTTTGTTCGTCTAACGCCTAAAATTTGTTGTTATTGTAATTGAACACTTTTTCGATACATAATATACTACCTACTTAAATTTTAAACATTACTTACTTCTGACAAATCATCCATAACATCCCTAACATCAGATTCTGACAAACAACTTTCATTGAGTTTTTTCAATACATCAGATCCTGTTTTATAAGCTGACAATACAGCAGTATTTGTATGAGTATTTTGAATAGTTGATATAAGATTTTGAATATTTTCAAGGATTTGTGATCGTTTTTCAATAGTGCTTTCTAATTTTCTTTTCTTTTTTAAATGTGTTTTTGCCACTTGCCGTAATCCTTTCGCTAGATATAACTTGGTTTCATTAATAATATTAATCTTTTCTTTCTCCATGAGTTCTATTTCTTTTATTAATTCATTTTCTTGTTTAATTAATTTATATAACCCTTCTTCAATTTCCGTTATGCCATGCGACGAGTGTATAATAATCTTAATTAACAGTTCATTTTCAGTTTCGCTATTTCTAAAAGTTATTTTCTTTTCTCGTCTTAACCATATTAAAATCAACATTAGTGTATTCTCTGATATGTTTTCATCTATTTTACATTTACAGTCTTTTAATATCTCAGAAAATGGTGTAAGAACATTCTCCTTTTTTTCTTCCAAAATTGTAAATATATCCTTTCCTAACTCCTTGATAATTTGTAGATGTATATACCTAGCTTCCTTATTAACTTCATTGTTTACAATATAACTTTTAACCTTTACAAATGACCATGAAAGTGGTCTCTTTACAAATAAGTCAATTGACCATGCTGTCCATGAATCACATGGTTCTTTTAAGAATTCATTTTCTGGAATTATTTCATTATTCCTATAATATCAGACAAAATAACAAAGCAATGATGAAATGTTTTTAACCAAAATACGAACTATGTCAATGTAATAAGATGACCAAAATATAGATGGTAATTACAAATTAATAATAACATTACCGATGAAGTTCTTCCACAACGGTTGGAAGGCAAAGTGGTGAACAACCTTTTCGCTTAAAAGCATGATTTAAATCTGAAATAGAAAAACTGCTTCTCATTGTGTATTTCAACCATTCATATATTAAATTTTGCCAAAATTTATATTTTGATGTCCAATCTTGAGGATTAGCTAATTTACTTCGAAAAGGTGAAAATAATGCATTTATTCTTTCCTCATCAGTCCAACATTTTGGCATTTTATCAATTGGAAGTGGTAAGTTATTATCCATATCTGAGTTTTTGAAGATAATTTCTAGTTAAAAATATATACAATTACATTTAATGCAAAGTTAGGTTATAATTTATGTTACATGTTACGTATTCAAGTTTTCGAATATTAATGTTTACCTTTCTATAATAACAATAATAAAAATTCAATCGTAAATAATTAAAATATATGACAGATTTACAAATAAAATCTGACAAATAAAAGTAAACCTTTTAATCTATATATACAACACAAACATTATTATGTCATTGTCACAACAAATGGTGTTCAGGCAAGTTCGTACTACTTCAGATTGATTTGCATCGATATAAATCGTAAACTTCAAGACAAATCGATACTATTTCGATATTTTTCGTATTTATCAAAGAGTAGGGATACAACAGGTACCGTAGGCCGTAAGTTTACTCTGTGGTATTTATGTGAAAGTATTGATATGCACGTGTAGAATAAAATTATGGCTGAAAAATTTAATTGGTAATGCCTTCAATTATTATTAACTATCTAATAATAAGCTTCAATTAGCGTATTAAATTTAAGTATTTCTTATTTTATGTTGAAAATATAATATTATTATTTGTTAATTTGTCTAATATTATGAAAGTAAATCCAAAAAAGATTCTTAAAAAATTTTGATTTATTTTTAAAGGGTCTAGTTTTGTAGTCATTGAATCTTAAAATTAGTACAAAAAAACTACAAAAGATAAATAAGTAAAAAAATATATATAATGTGATATTGATTTTATTATAGTACGGTTAAAGTACAAAAGAAAAGTAATTTTTGTTTATGTTTATTTAAAAATGTCTTATACATTATATAATATACAAATGTTTCAATATCTTGTATCATTTGCTAAACATATTATTTATAACATAATGTAGTTTATATGTTACTTTATTCCAGCTATAGAAAAATCAGCCTTTAAGTTTTCAGTAGACTTAAAAATGCTTTGTTTTGAAGTTGTAGTCATTCAAGTTGAAGTATCAAATAAAATATTTTTTACTGACTGAGATACAATCTTATAATATATTGAAAAATCATATCTGTTCCAAGATTTCTTGAATATTTCTTATGTATTTTTAACCCTTTGCACTCATATGTCATGCAGAAGGTGACAACACCCAACAACTTTGAAAATAAATCAAGTGCAGAGGGTTAATACTTTTATTCCATTGTTTTTTATTGCTTTTAATGCAAACATGTTTGACTAGATTAGGTTCATATTTACATATTTGATTTATCATTCAAAAATTTCTTCTAGCAGAGATCTTTGAACATCTATAGCTTGAAAATATAGCATTTATGCATCGATTCTTATATGATTTTTTTTGTTCTTACAATCAATAAGACATGTTTGGACCTTAACAACATATTATGAAAACATTCTGAATATAATAATGTGAATATATAGGTCATATTTATATAATTTATCATTTTTATATTTTCCATCAACATGGTGGAATTGGTTTACGTGTTTCTAACTTCTGAATGAGATCCTGAATCCATGATATGTGTTCAGAAACTGATGTATATAAAGTATATTCATGGCTGTTACAAGTTGTAGTTCCTCCTTGTTGTTTTGTACTAATGCTAACACTAACAATACCTCCTAAGTACCATACACCACCTCTTTTAAAAATTAATCCACTACCACTATCACCATCGCAAACTGATGTTCCTGTAATTTTTATGTCTTTAATACTTTTGTACAAAGGTAATAGAATAAGTTTATGTATAAATCTAAAGAAGTAATATATATCGATAATATGTAATATATTGTTTACTTAATTTTTCTACTAACCATTTGTATAACCTGCACAAAATTTATCAGATGTGATAAATTTTGCAGTATCATAAGTAGAACTTGCAGATCTGCATTCAGATTTAGAAATATATGGAACTGTAATTGTTTGTAAGATGTAACTGCTTGTCCCTAAAGATGTTTTTCCAAATCCTGCTACTTTACCATAATCTCCCACATCTAATAAGAGCAGATCTTTAGTAATATCTAAACATATTGGTACTAATACTGATGAAAATGCAAATGGTTCCATAATCTCTATTATAGCTATATCCTCAGCATAATTTCCTTCAAGTCCTCTATAATTACATGGAACATATATGTTCTTTACCTGCAATAAAAATGTTATTAATGCAATGCCTAATGTGGTTTCTAATCAACTAAGGTGAAGTATATAGTATCTCATTTTAATTTATCCATGTTGTTAATATATCATTCAAAAAATATTTCAAATAAAACTTTTTTCAAGGAGTATATTATACAATGACCTTGAAATTTATTTGAATAAAGACATTTTTGAGATCTTAAAACAACCTTTTTTTCAAATGGAACTGTATATTTTTATATTGCATTACATTTATTATAGTTAACTAAGTTTATTGCTTATTTCAAGACAAAAAAAAAACTGTTCACATAATATTTTTGGTTCAAATAAAGAAGATTCAAAACAATTTCCACACATGTACTGAAGATAAAATTTGAACAGACTTGAATAATCTTCAGAGGTGAATATAATACAGGTTAATGGATTTTCTTTGGAGTGGGATACAATATTAGATTCAACTATACATATAGTTTGATTTTAAAAAACAAAGATTACTTTAAAATCTTAAACACGCCTCTTTTTATTTGAAATATTTTCTCGAATAAGATACGTATAATTCACAAGATAATTGTGTGTATGGATTAAAATAATCTACTTTGTATATTTACTTTAGATTTCTTCACTACTGTTGAATGATGTAAACTCGAATCATAATCTCTATAGATATTGCCTGTTGCTACATAATATTTTGAGGGGTTAGTCTCATCAGCCACACAATGTGCTGCTGTAATGAGAAATTTTTCATGAATGATAGTTGTTCCACAAAGAAATTCTTTTGGCCCATTACGTCTATTTTGTTTGTAGAGTGTACCATGCCATGGAAATTCATTAATGTTAGCTTGAGTTCCATTTACAATAAGTGGAACATAGTTTGTATTTGGTATACCACATTCTAAAACAGATTTAAATTATTGTTTAGATGTAGTCATGTATATATTAATATTAAAATTGTATTAGTAGGTAATGACTAAAACTTTACTGAATTTACATTGTAAATATAAAACCTGTTATAATTGAAATCGCTTAAATATAAGCTTACAAAGGTAATTGATATTCATTTTTTGAATAAGAAATAGGATATTCACCTAATTATTCAAATTATTTTTGAATTATCTTTGCATGTATAAATATGCATATTAATTTTTTCTACAATTGTTTATATCATGTTTTTAATATTAAATTTACAATTCTTATTGTTCTATTTGTATTTTCTGTACTCATTTTAATCTTAAGTTTGGGTTAAGAGTCATTTTATTTTTTATGTAAATAACAGTTTTATCTTCTCATCTATTATATAGAACCATTGTTTTCTATGTCAGTTAGTAACAAGATAAGAATATAAAAGTTTTCTTTAGAAAACACAATATCTTCTACTTCAACATGCATGATTAAGGTCATGCTCTAAAATGATATGTAGGAATGTTAAGGTGTTACCTTAATACTTATTAAAAAATTATAAAGACAATAGGTCTGTGGTATATATCTAATGGTATACTTCACAATATGTGATATTGTTTAAAAAAAGAATAAACCTGTCATACAGTGATAATATAGTACTGGAATATGTTGTATAATATTTGATATCATAATCACTTAAGGTGTAAGCTGGGTAAACTACTACATTCATACTATACTGTAGTTTTAATATTTCCTCTTTTTTAAACATTAATGGGAATTCCACTATTCACTATAAGGTAATAACTGTATCATTGTTCTAATATTTTATAACAAATAATAAGAGATGACTAAAACCTTTTGGATGTTACTCAGGGTCATAACATTAATAACATGTATAGAGATCAATGTCATTAATATGTAATGTTTATTGTGCACAAACCTGGAACACACTGTATTGGTTTCGGTTCCCATTGGCCAGTTTTATTACATCTAGTAACTTTTGATGTTGATAGCAATGTTGTATCTTGGCGATAACTATTACGACATTTTAAGCTCGCTTCTGTATCAGGCAGAGCAGAAGTTTGACATGATATGTAGTCGCCCCTGTATCGACACGTAGCACTTCTTGAATTTGATTCTAAGGATTCACACCGTATTTCTGAAAGAGGAACACTGATTTAGGAATTTTTTTATAATTATACCTGTAACTTGCAATATACTGATTCCGTACCTATACAATATGGAATATCTAATAATTCACCATTCCAAGTACAAAATACACGATCATCACCTTTAAGCTTATAACCAGAATTGCAACTGTAAACTAAATGTTCTCCTGGTGTTATTATAGTACCTTCAGGAACGTCGCAATAATCACATGATCGAGAACTATCTGTGGAATCACAACAGTGTGGTTTATGTAATTTTCTGTATCCATTTTCTGGTCGAGCTGGTACAATACAAGTTGCAGAAGACCAAGTAGGTGGTGCAGGAGATACAGGTTCTTTTGAATAATTTTGAAATAATAATGGATAAGGTACTGTTGTTGTTGTTGTTGTTGTTGTGGTACTTCTACAGAGTACTGGATCTTCATCTGATCCATCTGCACAATTGTTAACACCATTACATTTTAAATTAGCAGAAATACAGGCACCATAGGAACAGTGAAAATCATTCCCTAAGCAGCTGTAAAAATATATAGATATTTATATAATAACGAGTGTTAGAAAATCACAATTCTGTGTCCTTACTTGATATTTTTACATTGATGAAATATTTCATCTGAATTATCTGCACAATCAATAACACCATCACACAAAGCACGTGCTGGAATGTATTGTCCATCATTGCAACTAAATGCAATCTTTGAACATGGTGTAGATGCATTATATGAGTTACCTAGAACAATTTAGTTTGTGTAATTGTCTATAATCATTTTCTGTCGACGGTGATACAGTACAGGGTGCAGAATTCGAAAGCGGTAATATAGCAGATGAAGTTCCTTCTGGAATAGTAAAAACTGGTAAACGAGATGGACGTGTTATGAATTTATTTCTACAGAGTGTGGGATTTTCATCCGAACCATCAGCACAATTTATATCTCCATCACATCTTAAATTAGCAGAAATACAGGCACCATAGGAACAACGAAAATCAGTTTCTGAACATCTGTAAAATAATATACATATGCATGTATATATATTTTATATAAAATATAGAATAGGTTGAATTACTTAATATTTTTTTAATAATTCACTATCCACGTTTGTAAATATTTTTGATTTTCATTTAACTAAAAAAAATTACAATTCTGTATTCCTACCTGATGCTTCCACATTGAAAAGATGTTTCGTCTGAATTATCTGTACAATGAGATCTACCATCACATAACTTATATTCTGGAATACAGAGTCCATCATTACATCTAAAAGAGTACATTGGGCAAAGTGTAGATGAATTATGTAAGGCACACATTGATAATGTTTCATCACTATTGTCAACACAGTCTTTTATTCCATTACAAACTGCATTTCTTTCTACACATGCACCATAGGAACATTGAAATTGAAAAGAAGAACATTCTTTTTTACTACATTCTACATAAGTTTCATCAGTCTCATCTCGACAGTCTGCTCGTCCATCGCATGTTAAATCATGTGCTACGCATTCACCATTTTTACACCGAAAAGTCCGTGCGCTATTAAAATGAAGGTACAAGGAATTTATTACTTTTAATTATAAAGTAAAAAATTAGTTACTGTTTTATTTTCTTTTTTAATAATTCACATATAATAAATAAAAAAGTATCATTAACTCACCCACATTTGTTGTTTTGTGAATATACATTTTCTGATGTACCTGTGACACAAATAAAAAGAAAACAATGTATATATATTGCTCAAAAGAAATATGGTATAGACAAATTTTAGGCAAAAATTGGCCAAATTTGACTGATGATAACTCCGTGAAAAATCATCGCAAAGTTATGCTCTTTTTTTTAAATTAAAGCTTGAGATCTTTACTTTAAGATCCTGTAGTTCGATTTTAGATTTAATGCATCCCTACCACAATAACACCGGAAATGTGAGGGCATGTTTGCTGTATTGAAAATTACAAAGTTTGACGAAATGCATGGATTTCCCATATTTTTTTTGGTGATACTGTTTACAGAAGCATAAAGTACAAACTTTTATCTTTAATTTCCAGTATGTGAGAGACCGCTGCCATTTTTTTTGCGAAGATACAGCACTTTAAAGAGACCCTTGCATTTATGGCATGTATCGCCGACATTAGCATTACCCGATGTGCACCTCGAAGAGGTTGCTGGACGGATTTTGCACATCATAGACTTGTGGTGTCTAAAATCGAACTACAGGGTCTTAAAGTAGAAACCTCAAGCTTTAATTTAAAAAAAAGAGCATAATTTTATGATGATTTTTCAGGGAGTTATCATTAGTCAAATTTGACTAATTTTTGTTTAAAATTTTTCTATGCCATATTTCTTTTAAGCAGTGTAATTGTTTGATACAATTTTGAATGAAAAATCTAGAGCAAAAATATGCCCAATTATATCTGACCATTTCTGTCAGTAGGACAAATATTTAAAACTCGATCAAAATTCGACAGGTATGATAGCATTTTTTTTTTTATTTAAAAATCCTACAAAGTGACGAAGTTACTTACCCTCATTCTGCGGTGCTATTATCAATCGTTTGCCGCCATTGCTGCCGCGGATTCTCGGTTGTTGGCCATTCAAGACCAAAATACCTAATATAAAAAATTCATTTCAATTTAGAAATAAAAATGTACTACTTGTACTGTAGTATAATTATTTTTTAATTTTAGTAATTATAGAAATGACGACGCTTTGAAGGAAGCTCTTTTTATTAAAAACAATCAACTTTAATCATTCCCAAAAAATTAAATGATATATCAGAAAAATCTTAAGTTATGTTACAGAATTGTCTTTAAAATTAACCATTCGATTTTGTTTAAATTTTAAGATTTTTTATCTACCATTTCAAAAGCATAGTTTCAAGAAAAGCGTAAAAGAAGTTTTTTGCTTGTCATTTATGCCAAATTCGCAAATAGTAGACGAGGCCATAATTTCCTATTAATTTTGACCATCATTTATATTTTATCGCGTGCATTATGTGATAAGAAAACTTTCAATTACATTCGGATGAGCTGTATTTCGGTATAATAGTTCAGTACATCCAATAAACTTTATTACGGACAGAGCGTATTCGCGGTAACTTTAAAGAACCTTTCATTCCCTAACGTTCTGGAAATACACATATTTTTATTCCTTGTACCGTGCAATTTTCATATACGTAATGTTTTGTATCCCTAATACATGAACTTATCGTGGACACCCAGTGTATGCATTCCTTATTCTTAGTCAGGACAAGAAAGAATATTTTAAAATCCAAGGTCATTCCTAAACTGGTTTCTGACACTTGTTGAATATATTTTGTTTATAATATTTCTTAATCTTTTCGTATAAATATATGATTATGAAAAGTTTATAATAATGCCACATTACATAGAAAACAAGTGATAATGTTTTTATATTTGGAGAGTCACATATTACTTTAATTGCAATCAAGTTTATTTTTTAAATTATTTATCACTGCTTATGATTTTCAATATTAAATACTTAAAATAAATTTATTTACTGAAATATTTTAAAATAATTGTAATCAAGTTTATCTTTTAAGATATTCATTATTGCTTACAATTTTAAATATTAAATATGTATAATAAATCTATTTACTTCAAATTTGCACTTCTCTTAATATTCAGCAAAGTATCTGACATTATCTAAAATAATTGTAATCGAGCTTATCTTTTAATACATTTATCATTACATATGATTTTAAATCTTAAATATGTATAATAAATTTATTTACATCAAATTTGCTCTTTTCTCAATATGAAGTGAATTATCTAAAGTAGTTATAAATAGTATTTTTTAAGTTAACTTTTTACTTTAACTTCTCGTTTTTTATTAGATTTGTAAGCGTAATTATAATAAAAACATATGTACTTACTGTGAGCAATTATTACAGTAATCGTAATGACGTTCTTCATAATAAAGAGTTAAAGCAGAAAAGTAACATTCGATCAGCTTCTTCATGTGGTGAATCGTTTACTGATCCTGTATCAGCCGGGAATCACCTGGCCAAGCAGCATTGATTCAGTAACTATTCATATGCCTCTATATCTGTGTTGTTACAGGGCCGGTTTTTGTAGATGTGTAGTGGATGAATCCTTAGGGCGGCTGACAGTAAATTTGAAAAGACAAAATTAAAATATAATTTAATATTGTGTTATTGTTAATAAATAATGTATTTTTTTTTTCATTTTTGCACATTCGAAAAGAAGAGAATGGTAATAGGTCACGCTTCTTTTTAGTTCTTATTATTAATATATTTTTTCATGGACCTTTTATAAAACCATGCTAGTAAGCTCTCACATACTAGTAAGTGGCCTTAGTTAGGTCAATGGCTTGTAAGCAACCTGTTTCTAACTGCTCACTTGCGAACACTAGAAATTGAAATCTTCCAATTTGGATATAAAAAATGTCTGTGTCGCAAAATTAAAATCGCAATTCTCTAATTTTTAAATTTTCATATTCTGATATTCTTAAATTTAAAAATTCTTAAACTCTCAAACTACTAAATTTTTCAATTCTCAAATTTTCAAGTTACCAGATTCTTAAATTTTCAAATTATTAAATTCTCAAATTACCAAATTCCTAAATATCCTAATGTCCAAATAACAATCTAACATTCTAAAATTTTAAAAATTCCTTCAAATTTTCATACTTTAAAATTTTCAACGCTTTTAATTTTTAATTTTGAAAATTTGAGCATGTTATTGCTGTATTCGGTTACATTATGAATCAATTTACAATTTGTATTAACAGGGACAGCCAATTGTTTAGCACAAAAGTAATTAACAGTATAATACCGGCCCTATGTATGTGCCAACAGAATGCGTTCAAAGAAATAGGCGAAGATACTTTCTTCCGCTAATTGAAAGATTTATATGAATAACTGTTCGAGTATAAATTTATTCTGAAGGTGTTATACGAGGAAACCTCCAATTTCCGATTGAAAATTGAAGGTCTTCGTCTCTCCTGCATTGCTCTATAGAGGAGAGACAGGAACAGCAATGATTTTTAAGCGAAAAAGCAATATTTCTTCATAATTTTTTTTATATTCTTTATTGCAATTAAGTATATGCCAGCGTATAAATCTCGATTTTGCAATTTGACTTCTAAAACTTAGTAAAAAGTTACTATGTATTTTCATCTTTTACAAAGTCCTAAAGGCTAAAGTTGAAAAATCGGGCCATTTAACGAACTGTATAATTATTCAAGGAATATTTATAATAAAGAGGTGATTGGAAAAATGTTCACGTCGATTGTGTGAATATATAACGCATAATAGATTAGAAACATTGTCAGCGATTTTCGATAGAATAATTCCTTCCAAGATAACACTAAACCTATATCGGTGTATAATTCACATTTAACTTGAAATAAAGAAGATAATAAATAAATGATTAAACATAAATTTGTAGGAAGGTCTCTGAATAACAACTAACAAGGAAAGGCACGCAAGTGTCCCCCTCCGATTTTGATGAAACTTCGTAGGTTTGTTAAGCAGGCAAAAATAAGGGACACGTATTTTTTTTTATCGGCTGAGATGCGGGTTTAAGGGGTGAAACGAGCCCTTAAAGTTTCGACCCCTTTTGGCTATCTCGAAAACCATACGAGATACATTAAAACTTCTAATAGAAAAGTTGTATGGTTTCTTGCGTATAATAACAGCATGTTAATGAATTTTGCAAAATACAATTTGTTTATAACAAAAAAATTTTTCATAACCTTGTTTTACAATTTATTCAAATTTGTATAATGACAAAAAGTGTAGAGAATTTTATTACAAATCCATTGGTATATATATATACAATATTGCCTCCTACAATTTCTCAGATTTTTATCATAAAGGTGCGCGCGCGCCCGCTGACGCTCCACACTATACTAAATCGGATGAAGTCGGACGATATTACACTGTCAGTCAACATTATTTATAAGCATAAATGAGAAACAATTACATTTGCGTTATAATTAACATTTATTGTTAAAGTACAGAGGTATTCAATATGTTAATTTTATTAGAAATGATTCAAACGGTTTTCGATGCACCATGCACATGAAATAATTGCTGCGTCACTACATATGTAGCATAGTGGTTCATTATGTGATGCATAGCAAAATTCTACTG